GAAAAGGAAAAAAGAGAAAAGACCAAAGAAAACTAGAGAAAATCGGTTAAAATCAATGAAAAACAAAAATAAAAAATGTAAATAGAAAGAAGCCGGATAAAAAGTGAATGAAACAAAAAACCGATTGAGACCGAAAAATTGAAAAAAAAAACAGCAACCTGGCGATGCGAATGTAGCCAGCGACAGCGTGCGAGCGTATGAACGCTTGAACATGCAAAAGTGACGCGGCATGAGTACTGTAGGACTTGTATGCGAGCCCTATTATAAATCAGTACGGGCGATACATAGCATATGCAGCACATGTATGCCTCGCTTGGTGCAAGACAGTAGACCGCGTCGCCTGCAAGTAACCAGATAATGGGCCTGCCAGGATGATGTCGTAGGCTTATTCTTTTTTTTATTTTTTAAATACTAAATAGAAATATAATGAAACATAATTTAGTTTATTTTCGAAAAGTGTTGATCGCACATTTCAAAAATGTGAATACAGTGTAAAAGAATGTTCAGTCAACCTTTAGAAAACGTTTGTGTCTTTCAAAAATAATTTATGTGACATTAAAATTTGTTCACGTATTTTAAGAAATGTACATGATTTTTTTAAAATGTTGTAAAATGTAAAACAAATGTTGGACAACCACAGTAATGCATCTTACGTAAGGCGTGTTGCAAGATGCCTGTAGAGGTAAATTCTTAGTAGCTACAAGAAACTTAGTTTTTTTTTGAGTCTTTGGTTGTTTTTTAAGATAGCTACCGGTTTATACCAAGCGGTACAAGAAACTTGTGAAGGAGTTAATGCTTTCTGAAGTACAAACCATGCAAGACACTTATATCACACAAACACAACTTTACCTTCTTAAACACGTTTCACATGCACGTGCAAATCATCATGAGAACCAATTTCTTCAATTTTTACGTCATGCACAACTCAATTACATATACAGCAGATTCTTTTTATTGTAGATGCATGTATGTCTATTTCCAATCTTTATGCAATCCCTAGCACAGTCCTCCCGGAAGAAACACACATTTCACATATGCGTACGCTTGGATATGAATGACAACCTGAAACACAAATGGTAGATTCAGTTTTTTATCTTCTCCAGACTACCTATAAAATATCATTCAACTTGTAAATGCTTCGACATTGATATCAGCTTTGACCAGCTACCAGCAGAAACATTGGCTCTCTGCAAAAAAAGAAGAAGAAAACTTCCAACTATCCTCAATCATCTTCGAGAACTGACCATGTTCGACAAAGTCTTGGTCCAGCGGGATCGGACGCCCCAATCTTGTTGACTCTGGCCAATTCTCCAATCGGCACACAAACTCCACTACATAACATCTTGTGCGGAAAAGAAATTACTTTACATAATTCATTTCATACCAAAATTATGAATTGATCATTTCACAATGGATAGATAGCAGTTGATCGATGGATCTTGCTAAGAGAACTATATGTACATTCTATATTATTTAATATGAATACATAAGTGCCATGACCATATAACATGTTTGCCTCGATTTACTACTTTTTTGACAATATTTCTTTCGAAATACTAATTATATAGAGATGATTTGTTATATTACATACATTGGTACTTAACAAGTCTAATTCAGTGTATATCAGTTTGATGAATTGATATAATAGATCAATGATACTTTATTTATACTCAACAAAGTATTCATGTAGAGAAATTGCACATATTATTATTACTACTACTACTACTATTATTATTATTATTATTATTATTATTATTATTATTATTATTATTATTATTATTATTATAATATGTTCATGATTAAATAAAAATCTATAATACGCACATCCTAGGTAAATTAATATCACCAAAACGCTTCCTTTACCGTAATTCTAATTATACATAGATCACTCTTGCCCCGGCCCAGCCATCATATCACTCGCTTTACTAATCAATATGCCTATTCCTATTTTTTGTTCCTCAAACAGTCCAACAACAACACTAAATGCATTGACTACAAGAGCTGAGACATGGACCATCAAGGTCAATATTTTAATACTTTAGCACATAACTAACTTATCTACTAATGAACTTATCAACGTTGATACAATTTTATCAAATGAGAAGGCTCATTGATAACACTCACAATTTGCTTTCTATAAGTTTGCTAATATTTTCTTTGTGTTTTGGGCACGCAATATGATCCATGCTTTTAATGGGAACATATTATTCAAGAAGTTTAAGCTAGAAATAAGGGAGGACTAATCTATGTATTTGAGACCTTCGAAGCTGGGAGCATGAAAAATTGTGATCATTGAAGAACAATGTCAAAAAACGTTGTCCTTTTCGTTACAACGGTGATGAAAGTTGATGAAGAAAAAACATCCTTTCTAGACAACTACTTAGAATTTGATGATAATAGCACCTCGAAGAGTTGACTAAATATTGATGAACAATTTTCATAAACGTACATGATCCATATCAAAGATTATGTTTAATTTGATTAGATTCTCTAATATTTTAATGTGCAAATATCATCATGTTGCTTACCTCCATGGAACCAATAGAAGAAGTAAAGAAAAACAAGGCGACAAGCAGGGAGCAACTTGAAACATCCTCGAGATTGAACTCCTTTTGCTAGAATAGTAATACATAGACATAATATCAACAAATGTGTCAAGTTATGCAGTGGTTTGAGGACAACTATTTTTCAACTTGTAAAAGTATCATATAACAAATTCTGATCCAAATATTGTATTGGTACAGAAATGCGCAACTATACGTAAAATCGTGGGGAGTCAAAAAAAGGGACGGATTGTGGGTAATCGTAAATTGATCCAAATATTTTAATGTATTTTACTATATATGAACTCTTGCTTCTTATAATAATTTGAATTGCAAATTAAAATATTTTTCAAAATTGAAGCAACACGGTAAAAATACTAGAAATGTACAAATATAGATATCTTAACTGTTCGTTCCACTCCACTCTCCTCCTAGATCGACCAAAAACAGGTAAATCTTTCCATGGGCAACGATTTGTTCATTTTAGGACCTGCCCAGATCGAATGTCAGGTGGATATTGGGGTCCAAAGAAAAATACACATGACCGGTGTGAGGCTTGACACATATAGGTCTTGCCTAGGGACGCACTGGATGCAGCCTTTATTCTTAAATAGTTGCAACCCATTATTTATTTTTTCTCTTCATGCAACTACGCCACATCATGAAGTCATGCATGTGGTCATAAGTTACAATTTATGCACTCATCTAACAATGCAATCGTGCCACCTCAACAATCATGCATGTCAATTTATACACATGACCGGTGTGAGGCTTGACACATATAGGTCTTGCCTAGGGACTTGAGGACGAAGGAGCTCTTTATCGCAATTTTACAGTTTGTTTTACAATATCTGTTCGGCCGTAGCTAAAATGAACCCTTAAAATGCATTTTTCTGACCCGTATCCCAGTTTTACAGTTTACGATTTTAAGGGGTCTGCTAGAGATGCTCTTATGCATTTGTTTTATTAAGGTTCCCGCAGCAATGTGCGGGTCATTACCTAGTTAGTATAATTTGCATGCCCATAACCGGCTGCTCACGCGCTGGATTTTGCAGCATCTGCTGGAGCTATAGCGCGCGCCATATTTTGCAGCGCCCGTCGGAGCAAGGCCCTCCTACGTGCTAAAAGACACTATTTCAATGCTGAATAAATATTTTAGCGCGCCGCGCAACCGCGCACCTGTTGAAGATGCTCTTAGGTGACGCCCCCTTCAGCAACCATCAACCAGCAACAGGTCCACATAGAATGTACTCCCTCCGTTCCAAAATAGATGACTCAATTTTATACTAAAGTTAGTATAAAGTTGGGTCATCTATTTTAGAACGGATGGATACATCTCATCCCATCTGTGAGCTCAACAACTCTGCACATAAAATGCATGGTAATTAATACATATGTACGCAAAAAAATGTACATATCTACGCAGCGGGGCGGATTAATACTGAACCCTTCTTTGGTCAAATAATAACAATAATAATAATCCTCACTCTCGCACCTACCTAATCAGCTGCGCTGCCTACTTAACCTGTGATTTGATTTTCGGCCGAAAAAAACTAATTTCGGCCGAATTTCGGCCATCTCGCCATGGCCCGGTACATGGCCCTTTCGGCCGAATAATTTTGGCCCAATTTGAATTTTGTGGCCCGGCCCAGCTTCTAGAGCGTTTCTGTTGGGCTTCGACTGAGATAAAACCACGAGCCCACACGCCCTAACCCTAGAATCTCCCTTTCCTCTCAATCCTCTTGGTGCCGCCGCCGCTGCGCACAGGGCACATCTAACGCGATGGCGGCTTCTTCAGCCAAGGCGCTCACTATCCTCCTGCCCTCCTCCACGTCTCCTCGCCTCCACCCCACCCACTTCATGTGCGTTGCTTCTCCAAGATTGAGGCATGGTACTCGGCGGCTGCGGCAAAGGAACTGGTGGAGCGCGAGCTGACCAGTTCAACGGAGGCAGGAGCATGGAGCAGCGGCAGCAGCATGGTGGGCGGCCGCTTGAATTGAATCTTAATTATGGATGCTTTTATATCTTCCTATTTGAAGTATGCATGCAGTTTTGGTTCTTCAGCAATTTGGCCAGGCGGCTCTGATTTACTTGTGCTGCTTTAGATTAAGGATTGTTGTGCTGCTGGGATTATGCCATGTTTGATTCAGATTTTACTCAAATTTCGGCCGAAATTCATCTGTATTTCGGTCAAATTTTATCCAAAAATTCAAATTTTGTTTCTGCAATTTCGTCCGAGATTTTACCGAAATATTTGAAATGGCCGAAATTCGTCCATCTCGGTCAGGGGCGAAATAAAACACAAAATGAAAATCAAAACACAGTACTTAACCCGTCCCCTCCCTCCATTCCCTCAAGAAAAGCCTCAGCTTCCTCTCCAGCTAGAGCTCCTGCCCATCACAAGTCCTTCGAGAATCTAGCTAGCTAGCTTGCTTTAGCACTTCTTTGCATATCTCGATGGAGTGCGAGAACGTGCACGTCGCCGACGGCTTGTGCGTGGCGCAGCCGGCGCGGGCTGACCCACTGAACTGGGGGAAGGCGGCGGAGGAGCTCTCGGGGAGCCATTTGGACGCGGTTAAGCGCATGGTCGAGGAGTACCGTAGGCCCGTGGTGACCATGGAGGGCGCCAGCCTCACCATCGGCATGGTCGCGGCGGTGGCTGCCGGCGCCGTGACCAGGGTGGAGCTCGACGACTCCGCCCGCGGCCGCGTCAAGGAGAGCAGCGACTGGGTCATGAACAGCATGGCGAACGGCACCGACAGCTACTACGGTGACGCCACCTCCCACCGGACGACCAAGGATGTCAGCGCTCTCCAGAAGGAGCTCGTCAGGTACAAACTAATCCAGGAAAAAATTATACTATTATATTTCACTTCTTGATCGTCTCTGTCTCTGACTTATTTTTTGTGTGTGTGCATGTATTCCTTGCTGTTAAGGTGCTTTAACGCGGGAGCCTTCGGCACCGGCAAAGACGGCCACGTTTTGCCTGCTGCGGCGACGAGAGCGGCGATGCTCGTCCGTGTCAACACCTTGCTCCAGGGATATTCTGGCGTGCGCTTCGAGATCCTCGAGACGATCGTCACACTTCTCAACACCAACGTGACACCATGCCTACCTCTCCGGGGCACCCTCACCGCGTCTGGTGACCTCGTCCCGCTTTCCTATATTGCGGGCCTGGTAACCGGCCGCCCAAACTGCATGGCCACAACTCCAGATGGCACCAAGGTTAATGCCGCGGAGGCATTTCAGATCGCCGGCATCCAACATGGCTTCTTCAAGCTGCAGCCCAAGGAAGGGCTTGCAATGATGAACAGCACGGCGGTGGGCTCAGGGCTTGCATCCATGGTGCTTTTCGAGGCTAACATCCTTGGTCTCCTTGCTGAGGTCCTGTCGGCCGTCTTCTGTGAGGTCATGAACGGCAACCCGGAGTACACCGACCACTTGACCCACAAGCTGAAGCACCACCCCGGACAGATCGAGGCCGCCGCCATCATGGAGCACATTCTTGAAGGGAGCTCCTACATGATGCTCAAGAAGAAGCTCGACGGGCTTGACACACCAATGAAGCCGAAGCAAGATAGGTATGCACTCCGCACGTCACCGCAATGGCTTGGCCCTCAGATTGAGGTCATCCGTTCTGCCACCAAGTCGATTGAGCGGGAGATCAACTCTGTCAACAACAACCCACTCATCGACGTCTCCCGTGGCAAGGCTATCCATGATGGAAACTTTCAGGGCACACCCATTGGTGTGTCCATGGACAACACCAGGCTTGCCATTGCTGCTATAGGCAAGCTCATGTTTGCACAGTTCTCAGAGCTAGTGAACGACTTCTACAATAATGGTTTGCCTTCCAACCTCTCCGGCGGGCGTAACCTAAGCTTGGACTATGGCTTCAAGGGTGCCGAGATTGCAATGGCCTCATACTGCTCCGAGCTCCAATTCTTGGGTAACCCTGTGACTAACCATGTCCAAAGTGCAGAGCAACACAACCAAGGCGTCAACTCTCTCGGCCTGATCTCCTCCAGGAAGACCGCCGAGGCCATTGACATATTAAAGCTCATGTCCTCGACATTCTTGGTTGCATTGTGCCAGGCTATAGACCTCCGCCACCTAGAGGAGAATGTCAAGAATGTTGTCAAGAGTTGTGTGAAGATGGTGGCTAGGAAGACACTGGTCACCAATAACAATGGTCATCTCCACAATGCGCGTTTTTGCGAGAAGGACTTCTTGCTCACAGTCGACCGTGAGGCGGTCTTCGCGTATGCAGATGACCCTTGCAGCGCCAACTACCCATTAATGCAGAAGATGCGTGCAGTCCTCGTGGAGAATGCCTTGGCCAATGGTGAGGCCGAGCGCGATGTGGAGACATCAGTGTTTGCTAAACTTGCCATGTTCGAGCAAGAGCTCTGTGCAGTGCTGCCAAAGGAGGTCGAGGCTGCCCGGAGTGCCGTGGAGAACGGTACTGCCGCACAACAGAATCGTATCATTGAATGCCGATCATACCCGCTCTACCGGTTCGTGCGCAAGGAGCTTGGGACAGAGTACTTGACCGGGGAGAAGACAAGGTCTCCTGGTGAAGAGGTGGACAAGGTGTTTGTTGCCATGAGCAAGGGCAAGCACATCGACGCACTGCTGGAGTGTCTCAAGGAGTGGAACAGTGAGCCTCTTCCTATCCGCTGAAGAACGAGAAGTTGAAGAGAAGATAGTGTGCTTCAGAGTTAAGAAGGCTTCAGATGTTTTTAGCTTATAAGTAATAATGTTGTGTTTTCAGTTGGGTTTCCTTTGAAGTCGATGTTTTGTAATGTTCTCACGGAGTTGATCAGTGGTGAGTATTGATCAGTGGTATCTCCGTAGTGGCTAGTTCCATCAGCACAATGTGATGGCTTTTCCGAATTCTTAGTCTTGTATCCAGTTATCGCTATTTAAGTGTTCTATTTACCAATTTCAGTCTGAGATGTATACGCTGTTCTCTGACTTAACTTTGTGCTCGGAACATATTTTGGATAAATAATTCTTTTATTTCTTTGTTGATGGCTGAACAAAAATAGTTTCTTTTGGCAACGAAAAAGTTCATGAAACCAAAATACCAGGTTCACACGTAATTTAAAGGGCATTCAAAATAAGGTTGCAAGACGAAGGGCAAGGAGCCCTCTGAAAACCATGTCGAGAGTCCATTCGAATATTGTCATACCCACAAGAGCTGTAACATGTTTGTTCATACCTGTAGATACCATGTAAATGGTTTTAAAATACGAGTAAATAAAAAACAATATTATTTCTATATAGGATTAATCCATCTGGACGGAATCAAGCCCTTTCAAAACTAATTTCTCTCTCTCTCCCGAGGAAGAAAATTTTTTGACGGGCCCGAGGAAGAAATTAGAGGAACGACATGTCCAAGGTCGTCATGTCTTTTCAGTATATGGCGTAGAGAGGGGAGTATATCCCACCAAGTGTCATTCAAAAAGCAAATTTCACTCGCATGCACGCCGGGTTCCTCTTTCAAGAGAAAATTCAACGGCTACCAGTTACATGTAGTGCGAGTACAATCACATGAACTCGTGAGAGGCACATGCCGCGTGCAACGCGTGCCTCGTACGTCCTCGTGGGCGCAATTCGGCCCCATCTCCGTACCCGACTAATAATCACTGCAGACATTATTTATGGTCTCTCCACGAACCTGACTGATCACTTCAATCAAACTGTTACTTAATGATTCCCCAAAAAAAATGTTACGGTAATGGGGGAGGTTCTTTGCAGCTCATTAATTCATCGGAGACCAGCAGGGAAATATAGAACAAAATAATATACGCGAATATCCAGCTGATGTTCCGTGGAGTATTACAAAAGATTGTAAGGAAGAAGAGGAGAACACACAAAAATGCCATGATGCAAACAAGTAAACTGCCAAACTGTTGGATTTTTTTTAGGGAAATTGGTTCAATTTACCCATAGGTAGTATGGGAAACAAAATTTCAGAATTTCTGCCATATTAAAAACAGCAGGAAAAAAGGTTGCCATGTACATGATAAATATTTACCTATATGTTGAAAAGATGTTTGCCCATTTTCAAGATTTATGTATTTAATAAAATTTACATCTTAAAACGCAAACAAAGATGACATGTTATATACCCTAAAAAATGCTGGGTATGCCATTGTAAAATAACAAAAGGTTTTGACTTGGTGTATGTCAAGATAAAATTGGCATGCTATGTTCAAATAATTTGCTCTGGTATTTAAACTAAATTTACCATGGTTTGTTCAATAAATTTTTAATGGTGTGCAAAATAAATTTGAGATGGTCCAAAAATAAGTTATTACAAAGGAACTGACATGGTCAAATTTTGCGATGTTTGGAAGAGAGAAATGTTCTTAATTTGCCATGTGAGCAGGAGAAAAATTCTCTAAATTTGCCATGTCTTGTACACAAAAGCATATATTTTTTCCATGTGACAGGTACAAACATTCCCAAAAAATTTCATGTCTTGTACACAAAAAAACATAATTTTGCCATCTAAAAAAGACCCCCCCCACCCCCCAAATAAAATTTGCCATGGGTTGACACCTAAAAATAGACCATGGAAATTTTATTGAATTTGCCGTGTTTTCAAAAAACAAGGAAGTTTCTTAAATTGTCCATGTGACCATTTGGAAAAAAATTCACATTTGGTGTGTTTCTGTGTATGTGAGATGCACACCAAAATTTGAAGTTGCTATATGGTGATTTCAAAAGGGTATAGAAACTATCAAGCAATGCATACATAATTTGCCATGCATTTTTGTATGTAAAGATGCACAAAATTTCAGGAAAAATGAATCAAAATTCTATGTTGCCCTGTAGTAAATTGAAAAGGGCATACAAAGTGCAAGGTAGTGTCAAACAAAAAATCAAAAATCATGGAAAGTTTACCAAAAAACAGAAAAAGGAAAAATGTTGCTCGGTTTCCTTAATAAACTGAGCAAAAGCCTAAACAACGCATAGCTAGATTAGGTCTACAGCATCACAATACATACAAAACGTCAGAGGGCCAACACCCCACAACACACTCGGTCGGGGCACTCGATGGCCTTCACCACGACCAGAGTACACATCAAAAAATGTTGTACTATTCCAGGCTACCACAAGCATGTCCGCAAACCTAGATTACACACAAAAGGAACGATATGTCCGATAGAATGAACCTTGGCCGCTTTGATCCCAAGAGGCTGGCCGACATAACTCGCTTGACACTCCTTGTATGTGGAGGGTGCTCATGCTGCACCTAAGGAGATGTCACCCTAGCAGCCACCCACCACCTACACGGGCATGAGTCCCACTGATCATGTCAAACTTACGCTGGTAGCCTCACCTGGCCAACCCCATGACCTGGCCCACCCATCTAGCGTTCCGACTTCACGAGGCGTAAGCACGGCGCCACATCACATAGCAAGGACCCCCATCGCAACTCAGAATCACTGGTGGAAAAAGGGCCTTTGGTCGCGGTTCGCAACTGCCATTAGTTGCGGTTGCGCAACCGCGACCAAATAGGCGCGACTAAAGGCCCCCCCCCCTTTAGTCGCGGTTGCTTAAGAACCGCGACTAAAGGCCCGTCCACGTGGGCGCCAGGCGGCCGTCGGGGCGGAGGACCTTTAGTCGCGGTTCTTCTGGCCAACCGCGACTAAAGGCCGCCGCAGGTTTAGGGTTTTAGCCCCCCCTAAACCTGTTTTCTGTTTAATTTGTATTGTTTTATTTCTTTTGTGCTTTATTTTAATTTTGAAGGAGTTTCACATATTCTACGGTACTACATACATGCATATGAATGTACAATTTCAAACAAATTTGAAATTAGAACCAAAAAGAATTCAAGAGGAATATACAATATATATTCAATATCATCGGATGACCATATACAATTTTGAACAAGTTTCCATACATAATTTAATGCATATAAAGTTCTACGTCCTCGTAATGGTGTTCTTCTTTAGGATGGAGGACTTCCCTCCTGAACCATCCAGCTAGTTCCTCTTGAAGTGGTCGGAAGCGAGCTTCTGGACTAAGCATCATCCGGAGGTTATTCCTCTGAGCATTGGTATCACTCGGAACCCGCTCAGAGGTGTATCTCCGGATCATCTCACAGACATAGTATGCACATAGATTGGTCCCCGCTGGCTGAATATCCTCACCATTCTTAGCCTTTGACCTTTTGAATTCTAGCTCTTTTTTGAATTCACCGACCTTTGTATCTACGAACCGTCTCCAAACCCTACGAGGCAAAGAAAATTAAATGAACAAGAGAGTTATTAGTTACTTGATATTAGGAAATGAACGAAATAGGCCGATCGATATAGAGCGCAAATGAATGAAAATAATTACTTCTGCAGCATTCTTCTCATGCCGCCCCAAAGCTTTGGATCCTTATTCAGAGAGTCGTGGACGAGACATTCTGAGGTGTCAACTTTAATTACTAGCAGAATCCAGTGGAACCCGCGGACACGATACATGCACAGTACGTCATGCATAACTCATCGATTAGCCGGCCACATACCATGCATGGAGTAAACAAAAGAGAATGTGCTCAAGACAGAAACACTCACCCAAAATGGTAAGGAAATAGAATATCACTTTTGAGTTCCTGCTTTGTAAGAAACTGCCACAGGTCTGCCTCCATGTCGGCGGGGTGATGCTCCAACACATATCCATTAACGATGTGTGGGTCAATGAACCCAACATCATGGATGTTCCTTACTCTGCATTCCTTAATCTTCATTCTGCATGTATAATAGCGGACACAACAATATAGTTAGGACATATTTATAGTGCAGGCAATATGAACGAGATGGGGTAGAAATAAATCACTTACAGAACGTAGCAACTGATGATAGATTTGTCGAGCTCGCGCAGATTGAAAAGCTGGAACAATTCACTCAGATGAATTTGTACATAGTAATGTTTGAAGTGATGCTCATATCTAACTTCCGCATAAATATATTCTTTGGCGTTTTTATTTTTTATGTAACCTTTGTACCATTTCAGCAGACCTTTCATTTGTGGAGGTAGATCCTCTTCCTGCGCAGGCTCGACGAGAGGCCCATTCTTCACATATGTAATTACTACCTCCTTCACTGGCGCCTCATCAAGGCCTAACAGTTCACGAAGAGTAATACCTAAGTTGGCCGCTTGTTCTCTGGCACTCGTTACAGTCAATCCATGTGCTGCCGCAGCTGCTATGATATCGGGGTCATCCGGACCGGCGGCTTTCACTATAAGCGGGGCAATCAATTGTTTACTTTGTTCCCCGAGCTGGGCAACTCGTTTCCCGCTTTTTTTACTTTCTAATTCCGTTTTCTCGGCCTCCTCCAAGGCTTTGTTCTCCTGGTTCTCCGCCCGCTCTTTCTTCTCCTTCAACATGAGTGCCTGCCTACGAAGTTCACGTGCATAGTCGTCAGGCAGATTCTTCGCGGCTTGGGACGGTGTGCTCAAAAATGACTTAGCCCACTTCTTTTGCTCATCAGAAAATACTGGCTTGGGCTCGGGCTCTCTTTTCTTCTTGCAGTCCGCCTTTCATTTCTCATGATCAGCAGCCGCGGCCGCGGCAGTTTCCTCGGCACTACGTTCCCAAGGCCTTGTGGGGAGAGGCTTCAATGATGGCTCCGGTACCTTTGTGGTCTTAGGTACATAAGGGTCCGGGTTAATAATCC